AGGTGTGAGCGCGCCCTCGGGCTTGCAAGCCCCTCGGTGCCTTTCTTCCCTCACCCTTCAGAGTGGTCTTAGAATATCCAGCCCATGCCAGGGGTGATTGGAAAATGCCATAAAAATACAAGTTGGTATTTTTGTTCACTTTATTGTTTTCGTGGTCAACTGCCTGGGTGCCCAGACCTGACCAGGAACCCATGACCCAGAGCCCCAGACAGGTTGCTCTCCTGAGACTGAGTCCCCTGTCCTCTCCGTGCAATGCAAGCTCCTGCCAGCTCCCTGCGTGCAACCCCATTTCCCCAGGGCCCTTGCTGGGGAAGTTTTATCCCCTTTCTCAACAGAGGAGCAGTTGGCTTTTTAGGTCCTACCCATGTCAAATGCCCAGCCTGTTCCCTCCGGTTCAGCAGCCCGGGACAACCGTGTGGGTAGCAGAGCCGCGCGTGGCACGTGAGGCACTGCCGGGGCACCGGGTTCAGCGCCAGGGCACCGGAGCTCTCCAGGAGCATCCCTGCGTCCCCTCCTTGACCCTGGAGAGGTGTTCTCGCCCCTCTGCTAGGCCGATCTGCAGACCACTGTGCGTCCTGCCCTGAGGGACCAGCAGGACGGCGGCCGCAGGAGGCTTCCTTCTGTGCTGAACTTCCCAGGAACCATCGGGCCGGAGGGAAAGCGGAGCTGAACGTGCCCCAGGAGGGAGGCGCTCAGCGTGGCTTGGAAACCCAGGTGGGCGTGCAGTGGCCTTCAGGGTCCTTACATGCCCCGCAGGGGGTTCCAGGCAAACTTTTGGTGGTGCTGCTTCAGAGGAGCCTCGTGTGCTGCTTCAGTTAATCAGCAAGAGCAGCTAGGGAGCTTGGTCTCCATTCCCTCGGCGGCGGCTGCAACCTCACACCTCTGAGCATCAGAGCCTGGGACTGAGGGCTGGGCAGGAGGTGGGGTCGCAGGACAGGGTGTGCGGCCCCTGGGACGCGAGGGGGGTGGAGAACTGAGAAAGGTGGGGGGACAGAGGAGAGAGCTGTGGTGTTAGACGCCTGGGGGAGGGGGAGGAGGCCGGGGCCATTGGCTGCGAGGTGGGAGCTGGGGGAGATAAGCGGCTGCAGGGGAAAGGCGGTGGGAGGAAAGACGGGGGGGGGGGGCTCCACCATTTGGCTGGCGTCTGCTGGAGAGACCGGCCCCCAGAGCCCGCATCCCAAGCCTCCCGTGCCTCCCGGGACCCGCCCGACTGTCCTGTGCGGCCTCCCAGAGCTCTGACAACCCAGGCGCCCGGCCCCACCGAGCCTCTGAGGACGTTCGGCTGGGCGCAGAATTCGGCCTAGTGTTTTTCACCTGCTTCCAGGCAGCAGGGTGTGCAGTCAGGGGCTGAGATCCCCTGCCCTCAGCATCCACTTCTCGATTCCAGCTTCGTGTGCAAGCTTCCACTCGACAGACTGAAGACGTCAGAGGCTTGTTTTTAATTCACACACACTGAAGACGCCCCGTTGGGCGGCAGACTTTCTCTCCTCTCTGAGCAATGCCGGTGGTCCAGCGGCCACAGCCTCCAGGAGGAAGCGTCCTCTCCATCAGCCAGACACTTGGGCTGGGGCCTGTGAGGGGGCTTGGTGAAGCAGAAGCACACACGGGGGAGCACCTCCCAGGGGTCGACTCCACTCTGCGGCGCTGGGAAGTGCAGGCACCCCGCACTAACTTGTGTGCCCCGCTGTCCAAACCCACAGAACGAACAAACGGGGCTCCCAGAGCAGCTTCTGAGCTGGACAGAGACCTCTACGAGGAACCCCATGTCACCCCAGTGCTTTCTCCTTCTTGGTAAATGTACTGAGACAAAATAAAGACAGCAATTCAAAGTCTTCTGAAAAAAAGCTCAAATCTTGATGAAGCATCCATTCCAGTTACGTGCTCTAAGTAGCTCTGACGGTCTCTGGCCCCTCGCTCCCGTGTAAATCACAGGTCACACCGATGGAAGGTAACGTAGGAGTCTCTAGAGAGCCAGGCACGGGTGTGAGGGAGCCGCCGAGGCAGGGCTGCCCGCCCTGCAGACGGGGTCTGCGGGCGCAGAGGACGTGCCCCGGGCGGACAGAGGGAGGCCAGGGCTCAGACGTGGGCCCAGGAGGGCTGGCCCCACAGCCGGGAGGGCCCAGAGCAAGGATGGCATGGCTGAGTTGCAAGACGTGGCTGTTACTTAGGAGAACTTCTGAGACGCAGCCCCAGCCCGCCGTGCCGCTTTCTGTGAGTCTGGGGACCACCTTCCCTTTCAGAGGCCTGTTTCCTCTCCCATAAGGTGGGAGCGGTCCCAGGTGTGCTGCGCCTGCCTGCCCCACACTCTGCCCCTGCTGGGGGCAGGATCAGTGAGGCAGTGTCCTCCACCCTTTTCTCTTAGACTGTGATGAGCTGGGGTCTGTTTGTCCTCAGGGAAAAGCAGAAGCTCTTCTGGAAATACCAAGCCAGTCTTTGCTGGGACAAACCTTGGGGCTGAGACAAAAGGGAACCGAGGCAGGCTTGGAAGAGCAGCAGGACCCCGGGCGGCGCGGGGGCTTTCTGACGTTCTGACTGTGGGACGGGCACGACTCGCAGCTCTGGTTTCTCTGCAAGACGGCAGGAGGACACCCCCACCACATGCCCTCTGAGTCCCACCAACCTGCCAGTCTCAGCCCTGGGAGGGTTACAGGAGCCAGTCAATGCTCTACGCTCATAAAAGATCAGCCCAGAGCCTTCCAGAACCTTCCACAGAGTCATCGCAATGAAAAGCAAACAGCACAAGTGGGGCTCTCACTCATAAACATCTCACTGTCATGCCAGCCAGAGGAGGTAGTTACCACCCCGAACCCATTTTTCAGATGCAAATACTGAGGCCCAGGGTGGTGGTGAAATTTAACTAAGGTCACTCTTGGAGCTGAGGCTTGAACCCAGGTTGTCAGCCTGAAGGGCCACTTGTTCACCATCAGCTTCTCCTGTCTCTCCAGGGACTTGAGAGATGGGAGTTATTATTATTAGGTTTTGGTGAAAGACAATTTTCTATTAAAAAAAAACCCTTTTGCTTTGAGGTCACTGGAGATTCACATGCAGTTGTAAGGAATCATGTGGCGGGATCCTGTTCCTGTCACCTTAATGGTGACATCTGGCATAGCTCGAGAACAATGTCACAACCAGAGAAGAACATTGTAACAACCCACCCCCGTTATTCATGCAATACGGCAAAAAGGGATGTGAGGGGGCCATGTGGAGCACAGACCGTGTCTCCCTCACTCTCCTACCTCTGCCTCTCACTCTACCTTACGTTAAATCTCATGACGCGACTCCCTCGGAAAATGTAAGTTCCACGAGGTCGACGACTCTTGTCCACTGCGTTTGCTGTTGTATCCCCAGTGCCTAGAATAGTGCGTGTTTGCTGCACACGGTTT